TAACGACTGAGCCACTCAGGTGCCCCTGCTTCGGAGGTTTTTGCCCTCAACCTTTGCTATTGCCTTTCAGCTAGATAGGGAGAAATAACAAGAGGTTTTAGCTGGACAAAGGAGTGGGAGAAATGGTAGCTTTTGGTGTGGTTTATAGATTATTTTTGAGATAAAATGTGAAAATAATAGAAACAGTTTATTGGCTCTTGGTTGGTGGTAAAGGAGAATGAGAAATTAAAGATTTTTTAAAAAAATTCAGGAATGACCCCTAGCTCTGGAAAGCTGTCTGCTGGTTGTTTCTCTGTGGTTGGTTTGAATGTACTTCTTTCTCTGGGCTTTGTGATGATAGTAAGGCAGTGTGCTAGTGTCTGTGCCAAATACTGAAAATCACCACCTCAAAGGCAGTGTGCGGCCGGGGCTCTGTTGTTCAGTGCTTGTCCCCCCTCCCTCTTCCTCACTGCTCACCACGAGTGCTGTGGGAGCGGAATGCTGTGAGCTCCTTCATGGGGAAATTGGCAGTTCCCATGTTCAGTGCCACTCACTCCCCTCATTTCTCACCTGTCCACTTATCTTCCTGCTCTTTTTCATCTGGCTCTCCTTTACATCCCAATTACATGATTATTTTTATATATTCCTGACCTGATTTCTGGTTTTGATTTAGTCCCCCTTCTCTCTCAGGCCTTTGTGTGGTTCAGATTTGAGTTGGGGACCAGATGGGATTTCTGCCCACATCTCTGACTGACTGTGTTACCTTGGGCAGGTCATGTAAGATCTAAAACCTGTGGTTTCTTTATTTTGATCACACCTGCCCCATCTACCTCACAGGGTTATGGGTGAGGGTCAAATAAAAGAAATTCCTGAAAGTGTCTTTTAAAGCATAAATGTATAACATTAATTAATATTCCCAACCTCCCCAAGTGGCTTTGTCTACTCCCTGCTTTGATGCCCTGCATAAGCTTTGGTCATGGTACCTTTTGCATTACTTGTTTACCTCTGTACCCTCAAAGGCCCTGTGTCTTACACTCTTTGAATTTCCTAGCACTTGGCTCAAGGCAAGTTGCATGGGTACTGGCTCAGTAATGTTCAAGTGAATTGATAAAGAATATCTGTCTAAAGGATGTTTCTGATCATAGTTGTTTTTGTTTGTTTGTTGTTCATTGTTTTTTTTTTTCTGAACAAAGCCTTCCTCCTCATCTCTATGCTTCTTGAAGTTAGCCTTGTTAAAAATCAGCCCGTTCTTGGGGCGCCTGGGTGGCTCAGTTGGTTGAGCGACTGCCTTCGGCTCAGGTCATGATCCTGGAGTCCCGGGATTGAGTCCCGCATCGGGCTCCCTGCTCAGCAGGGAGTCTGCTTCTCCCTCTGACCCTCATGATCTCTCTATCTCATTCTCTCTCTCAAATAAATAAATAAAATCTTTAAAAAAAAATATTAAAAAAAATCAGCCCATTCTTACTTTCTTGTGTTCCCTTTTGCAAGATGCTAAATTCCAGTATCTGTGGTCTCCTTCTTTAAGGTCTAGGCTTACTTTTAAATATTCATCCGATGAGTCTTGCTTTTAAACAATCAGACAAATCAGTTCTTCCAGTTACTGAATTAGAGATATATAAAATATTTAATATTTATTTTTTGTTTATTCATTTAACAAATATGCCTTGAGTACCTTTTGGGTACCAAACTCTGTTCCTGGGGCTAGGAATAGAGCTGTGAACAAATCAGATGAGATTCCTGCCCTTATACCGCTTCCATTCTAGTGGAGTGTCAGTCAGTGAAGAAGGAAATGTATAAATGAGAGAATTTCAATGAATCTTAAGTGCTATGGGAGGGAATCATGTGAAGAGGACTCCTAGACCAGTGAGCAGTCTTCATATTTATGAATAAAACTGAACGTGTTACAGATGTCATGCTCTTAGTTTCCCTGTGTATCAGGTTACTTGAAAGGTATCGAACAGTCTTGATGGTGGATATTTGAAGTTCTGTCCCATTCATACCTCATCCACAAGAAAGATACGGAATGGCTGAGGAGGAAGGTGGCTATTTTCTGGACTTTGGTTTCATGAGTGCACCTCAGTCCGTATGAGTGCTCCTCAACCTTGACTAGAACCCTCTTTGTTCAGGTTGCTCTATTTGAGTATCTCTGATGGACCAAGGGGAACCCAGGGAAGATGAGGGAGTCATCGATCACCCAGTAACCTTGCTGGGTCATCTTGCTGTGTCAGTGCACCCACATCCTCAATGCCAGGGAAACTGCTTGCTTGCTTATGGCATTATGTATCCAAGGCCTGTTCACTGGTGAGCAGTCAGGCATCCAGCCATTGTAGAGCCTGTGAAGGAAGAAGGTAGGGTGAGCGGATGGCATGTGAAGAGTGACATACAGGGGCGCTTTTAGGTTTCTTTGAAGAGGTAATGTATGATCCCAGTTCTGAAGGATGAGAAGGAATGAGCTATGTGGGGATCTGGGGGTAGGGACAGCATATGAGAGATGCCCCAAATGGAAAACGTGTTTGAGAAGTTCAGGGAATAGAAAGAAACCACGATGGCTGGAATGTAGGGTGTGAAGGACAGAGTGCTGTGAAATGAGGTTGGCATTGAATGGAGGAAACTACACAGGGCCTTGTAGGCCGTGGTCAGGAGTTTGGACTATAAGTACTACTGGAGGCCACTGGGAGGTTTTGAGTGAAGGAATGACCTGGTTTAATTTACAGTGCTCAGTCTTTCTGCTGACTGCATGGTGGAGGATGGCCTGTAGAGGGGAGGAGTGGAAGCAGGAGCCCAGGCAGAGGGCATGTTGCAGCCTGGGTGAGGATTCATGGTGACATATTCCAGGCAAGGCCGAGGAGGGCTTGAAGTACCCAGTGTTGGAGCATGTTGGAGGTAGAACTGACACCCCGGAGATGGGCTGTGAAGGATTGAGAAGAACCTGTGATGACAAGCAGCTGGGTGGGTGGCGGGCCCTGAGGGAAGAACAGAATTTGAGGGGAGAACAATACTTTCCTTTGGACACGTTTGATTTGAGGAGCCTTGTAGTCCCTCAAGTGGAGAAATCCAGCTGGCAGCAGGCTTTGAGAGTAGAGCTTGGAGGGTGAAATCTGGAGTCCTCAGCAGAGGGGTGAAATCTCTTTCTTGATAGTACCAAGGAATTGAAAGTGGGTGAGGCCATTTCTTTCCTATAGGCATATGATCTAATTAATGGTTTACACGTTGTGGCCTTTATCCTATCATTTTATGTTATACATGTTAACATACATATATGTTACAGGCCATTTCTTTTTTTTCAACTCTTCAAGAAAATATTGAACTAGATAAATACTGTGCTAGATGCAGAAGACGTAATGACATATGGGATGGACTGAGGGTTCTGTAGGGTTGGTAGTATCTCCAACAGAGAAGACCTATCATTCCTTCAGAATTAAGTCAAGAATTCCAGTGGGAGGGATTCCACCAGGAATTAAGTAAAGTGAGATATGTTTTATAACCCAGAGAGAACTAGCTGGTGGGGCAATAGCAGAGGCACTGACCTAGTCTCTGGGCAGGCTGGGGATGTTTCAGCTATTAGTGAATGCCAATAGGAGCTGGCAGGTGAAATATGCTTCAGAAGGAACAGTTAGTGGTGGGTGGGCCAGCAGTTCGTATTGGGGTGAAAATGAACAGAATCCTTTCTTGGAAGCGCATATTCTGTGGAAGGCACTCAAGGATTCCTTGGCAAGATTATGTAGCTCCTAAGAATGATAAGACTAGTTTCATTGCTACCTGCTTTCACACGGGTAAATTTGTTAGTTACTAGGAACTTCCATTGCTCTGTGCTATTATTTTGGGGCAGAAAATAGAATGTGAAATTGGCAGCTGATATGACTTTACACACACCTTATGTGAATTATTTCAAAGAACCAGGTCAGATTTTTTTTGGTATGAAAAGCCCTATGTGGTTCTCAGAGGAAAACAACTCCTTAGATTCACCAGCATTAGTGTTAAGTTTATAGAACTTAAATATAGTAATGGATGTGTTCATATATAGTTACAGTATTAGAACCCCAAAATTCAGTTGAATCCACTTTATCATAGATGGAATAGCAGCATATTTGTTTCTTGAGTAATCCTTGCAAAATTTAAAGAAGCTGTTCTTAATTTTCCCGAGATGACTAGTGTATTCTTCCCAAGAGCTAACACCTTGGTCAGGACCCTGTTGTAAATGGCACAACCAATCTGTTTGCCAAGGAAAATGTACAGCCAAGGAAAATGTACAAAGGTATGTTGACAGTGGATAAGTACTCTGACCAGAGTTGTGAGGGATACTCAGGCCCCTGGATGAAGTGCCTCTGTTGCTGCTGGGCCCCAGCAGTTACCACTGGGCTAAGCTCCCTGCACAACCTGCAGTCCCTGGTTGAGCAGACCTGGTGCAACAGGGAGAAACACTGCTCAGGGCAACTCTAGGAACACATGGTGGGCCTCCCTGTGTCCAAACAGGAGTGGAACAGCTCACCTGGGAGCTGGAGGGAAGGCTTTGATCAGTGGCCCAGGTGGAAGTGGGTGGGTATGCTGGGGAGTGCCTGCTAGTACTCTTGAGCTGGTGTTAGGTCAGCTGGGAAGGAGGAGAGACTGGGCCATGTAGGACTCCAGGAGCAAAATTGTTTTTCAGATGTACAAACCCCATCCCTCTCCTCAGTGAACTTCTATTCCCCAACCCCAATAGGAAGGCATCTTGTTCCTCCCCAGACTTGTACTAACCTCTGGCCTTCTAGCTGGTCTTTGAGAGCTGTGCCCCATTGGTTCTGATACCCTTGAATCTGTCTCCTGCAGGGGTCCGCCTGTGGGGGAGGGGCCCCAGGCCAACTAAGATCTCTTTGTGGAGAACAAATGGGTGGGGATACTATTGTTGTTGTTCTGTTTTGTCTCATAGGGGGATAAAACTAGTTTTTACTTTCCTTCATTTCTGAAAAGGTTGTTTGTGAATTCTGATATTTGATCTGATAGTTGATAAGATTATTGTCATAATGGTAACTTTTTCTTTTCAGATAATGTGGATGCAAGTGATCTTAAGCAGTTTTTTGAGACCAACTATTCTCAGATATATTTCATCTTCTATGAAAATTTTATAACACTGGAAAATAGTTTGAAATTGAAAGGTAAGCATTTCTACAAAAAGATTTTTTATATACAAAGTTTTTTTTTTTTAACATTCAGAAAGTTTTAGAGGTTGTATGTGTCATGAGTCACAAGTTATATGCTTTTTAAAAAAATTTTTTATTGTTATGTTAATCACCATACATTACATTAGTTTTAGATGTAGTGTTCCATGATGCATTGTTTGTGCATAACACGCAGTGCTCCATGCAGAACGTGCCCTCTTTAATACCCATCACCAGGCTAACCCATCCTCCCACCCCCCTCCCCTCTAGAACCCTCAGTTTGTTTCAGAGTCCATCGTCTCTCATGGTTCGTCTCCCCAAGTTATATGCTTTTAAGCTTCCTTTCTTGCCAGACTCTTAGCAAAGCTGGGAGATCGCAATGGTTAGCATCTTTGTTTCCCTGGAACCTTCTCTCATACAGCTGTTAATTGAACAACAAATGGCTTCAGGGAAAATGGAAGGAGAAACCCGCAGAAGTCATGAGTTCCACAGGAATAATATACTTAAAAAGAAAGACATAAAAGTAATATGTGCACACTATAAAAAATTCAGACTCCACTAAAGGGTTTGAAATGGGGCATCTGGATGGCCCAGTAGGTTAAGTGTCTGCCTTTGGCTTGGGTCATGATCCCGGGATCCTGGGATTGAGCCCCATGTCGGGCTCTCTGCTCAGCGGGGAGCCTGCTTCTCCCTCAACCTCTGCCTACCACTCCACCTGCTTGTGCTCTCTCTCTCTCTCTCTCTGTCAAATAATTAAATAAAATCTTTAAAAAAAATAAAGGGTTTGAAATGAAAATTGAACCGTATGTTTTTGCCCAGACCCCTAGTCCTGCTCTGCATGCAACCACTATTAAAAGTTTCATGCATTTCTTTCTATATGTGTTATTAATGTATGATGTTTATATTTGCTTATGGTTATACCCTTATATACTTATATAAAATATTCTTTGAAAAATCAAGCCAATAATGTCACACTGCACAATCTGCTCTGTATTTAGGTGACAGGATATTGTAGCCTGGGGAGCCAGACTGGGTTTGGGTCCTGGCCCTATCCTTCCAGCTGTTTCTCCTTGGGCAAGTTACTTCACCTCTCTCTGACTCAGTTTCCTCCTGTCAGCATCAAACAGGTTAACATGTATCCTGGGATTTCAGGACAGAGTATGGCACATAGTATGTGCTCAGTAAATATTAGCTGCCATCATCACCTTCTTATTTGTTTTCATGTAGTCCGTTTTGGAAATCCTTACATGTTAGCACACTTATTTCTACCTCAGTTTTATTTATTAATTTATTTATTTTTATTTTTTTTATTTATTTTTATTTTTTTTTATTTTTTTTACTCAGTTTTATTTATTAAAAAAGTATTTTTTTTACTTGAGTATAGTCGACACACAATATCACATTAGTTTCAGATGTACAACGTAATGATTTGACAAGTTGATATGTTATGCTCACCACAAATGTAGCTGCCATCTGTCACCGTACAGCGCTATTATAGTACCACTGATTGTATTCAGTATGCTGGGCCTTTCATCCCCGTGACTTTTTCATTCCATAACTGGAAGCCACTCCCCATCACTCATTTTATACATCCCTCTACCCCCTTCCTTATTACAACCATTAGTTCTCTGTATTTATAGGCTTGATTCCGCTTTTTGTTTGCTTGCTTATTCACTTGTTTTGTTTTTTTTTTAGACTCCACATATGAGTGAAATCGTATGGTATTTGTCTTTCTCTGACTTATTTCGCTTAGCATAATACCCTCTAGGTACATCCATGCTGTCATAAATATCAAGATCTCATTCTTTTTTATGGCTGAGTAATATACCATTATATGTATGTACCACTTCATCTACTGATGGACATGGGCTGCTTCCATATCTTGGCTATTGTAAGTAATGCTGCAGTAGGCATAGGGGTGCATATATGCTTTCAGAATGTTGAGTCTGGTTCATAAACTGCCACAACAGTAGTGGGAACTCTGGAGGGAAGCCAGGTTCAGGAGGTAGGAGGATGAGTGCAGCTTTGGGCAGTCTGAGTTGAGGTGCCCATGGGACACCCAGGTGTAGGTTCTGGCTGTGCAGTAAAAATGTAGGGACGGGAGCTTGGGAGAAGAGAGGTGCAATCATGCTGTTGCCAAGGGACGTGTTCTTTGTAGAGAGAGTGACAGTTAAGGATTTGGGGTAATTCCTTCTTTTATTGGGTAGATAAAGAGTAAAGATAAAGGAGTAGTGTATGGAGCTGAGAAGAGGCTTCGATGGCAGGAAAGCATTTTGTCACAGAAGCCTAGAGAAGAGAGAATTTCAAGGAATGAAATGTCAGCAATGTTTGATGATGCAAAAAGTTGTGGAGCAGCTGGATTAGGAAGTGGTAGTGCATCGAGGAGGTTGTCACTGAGTACTGAAAGAAAAGTCTAGGTGAGTAGTGGGATCCTAAGCCAGACAGAGAGATGGAGTGGCTGGGGGTGAGACCGTGGAGGCTACACACAAGAATACCCTTTTAGAAAGTTTGATGGTGAAGACAGAGGATCATAGCTCAAGGCGTACCTTGGTCGGGGGAGGGTTTTACAGGCTGCATTTACCTGTTTGCAGGCTGACTAAAGGGAGATGACTGATGGTGCAAGGTGGTGGGGAACATGGGTTGAGATGGAGTCAGGTATACAGAAGAGGATGCAGAGAAGAGTGTATGGATGTCCTGACTGCTTCTGCAGAACCTGAGGCAGACATCAGGCATGGAGGGGAAGGAACGTGGCACAGGCACTGTGGTGGCCTCGGACATAGACCGATGGCTCAGAGTCTTACAGAATGCTCCAGCTTCTAGACGGTCATCAAGTCAAATACGACCGTGTGCCCAAGGATGCCAACAAGGGGTTTTGGTTTTTGTTTTTCAATTAATTGCTCAGTTTTTCCCCCCAAATTGGTAGATAATTCAAATATGAAACAATCTGATTTTTATCCTGTTCCCTAGTTTTGTTCCACTTAACTTTTTTTCACAGGTGTGTGGAGGAAAAAAGTGTGATATTATGGGTAATCAGAATAGCAAAGAAAGATATTAGAATCCCTTGTCTTAAAAAAAGCCCTGCACCAAAACACCCCATTTTAAAGGCTCCTCTATCCCTCCTCCTTCCTCCCTTTTGCTCTCTCTGTCCTTTTAGAAGAAAATGTAGTTGTTCAAGAGTGTATCAGTTAGTTTGTGCTGTATAACAAATTGCATTATAAACCGTCCCAAAACTAAGTCCCTTAATAAAACAACCAGTCATTTAGCTTACAATTTTCTGGGTTTATTGGGCAGTTCTTCTGGTTTAGGCTGGCTCATGCCTCTCCCATCAGCTGGTGGTTGATGGCCTCATTTACATGTCTTGTGGTTGGCAAGCTGTTGACCAGAGCACTCCATGCTTGCAGGTTATCTTGAGCTCCTTTCCATGCTGGCCTTAGGGTTCCAAGCTCAGCGAGTGCATAAGGCTTTTCAAGCTTGTGCTTCCCTCACATTTGTTAATGTAACATTGGCCAGAGCAAGTTACATGCCTCTCCAATGCAAATAGAGAAATAGACATCTCTTGATAGGAGAGGAAAAATTCTGCATTCTTGCAGTCTATTACAAAGAATCATAATGAAGAACCAATAAAATAGGGTTGAGATTTTCAAGTTTCTTGCTTTTAATACAATCTGTGTTTTGATTAGAGTACCAGGAAGAAAGTGTACCAAAACAACAGAATGAAGGAAAATGTTTTTTATGAATAATGAAATCATCTTGTGATAACTTCAGCCTTCCGTTATTTAGGCCAAAACCCAAGTTTATTGGCTTTGCCTTCAAAATACATCCAGAAACATTGGCCTCTTCTCATTGCCTGTGCTGGTAATGCTGGTGCTCCCATTATCCTCACCTGGATTATTAGGCCCTCAGAAATGGTCTACCCCTTTCCACACTTGTGATCCCCCCCACCCCCCGCCCCTGCCAGTCTCTTCAGAAGAGCAGCTGGAGTGATGCTTTAAAAATATATCACATCATGACTCAGCACGCCATACCCTCAAATAGCTTCCCAATTCTGGAAGTCATTACAATGGCCTCAGACCACCTTACCTGCCTGCCTTTACCCTACCTGCTTTCTAACCTCACCTGCGGCAGTTCTCCCCCTTCGCTGCAGACACAAGGGGGGCCTTCTCGCTGTTTCCTGACCATGCCAGGCTTTCTCAGCCATAAGGAATTTGTCCAGTCCCTCTGCCCAGAACAAATTTCTCCCAGATGTCCATATGGCTTATTTCCTTACCCCCAAGTGTCCATGTGTCTTCCTTCCTTACCTTTTTCAGATCTTTGCTCGGATGTCACCTTATCAGCAAGGTGTTCCCTGACTTCCCTGGTCAGAACTGAATACCACCCATTTTGGCATTCCCCATTAGCCTTCCCTCTTGGTTTTCTCATTTATTGAATATAAACTCCTCAGAATATAAACTTCCTCAAGGCAAGGATTGTTGTGTTTTGTATCACTCCTGTATCCTCACGGCCTGGAAGAATCTCTGACACAGACATTCTTTAGTGTATGTTCAATGAACGAATGCCATCTTATCTTACTTCATAGAGCTGTGGGGATTCCGTTAGATCAGGGGTCCACAACTTGCAGCTGACTGCTTGTTTATGCAAATAAGTTGTTGAACACAGCCATACCCAGTGCATTTATGTGTTACCCATGGCTGCTTTTGCGCCATCATGGCAGAGTTGAATGATTACAAGAGGGGCCTGTAAAGCCTAAAATATACACTGTCTGGCCCTTTACAGAAAAGGTTTGCTTCTTCCTAAGTTAGATGCTGAATGGCAGGCACTTAGCCCAGGGCCCTTGGCACAGAGACTGGACAATAAATGTAACCGGCTGCTATAGGTTTTGTAGTTTCTATTATTGTCACTGTCAAAAGGACAAGTGCACATGGCCTGAAGACATGCATGGCTTTTCATAGTTATGACTGCTCTGTGCCTCTTCACATCAAAAAAGGTAGAATGCTTTCTTTGCTTCTGCTGTGCATTCCTTCATAATTTGAGCCCATAAGTAACGAATTGAGAAATGAATAAATTGCCATCTACGGGTTGACTCGGAAAACGTGGAGGCTGTGTTTAAACAGCTAGCAAGGAGTGGCTCTGCTAGAGGTGGACTCAGGCGGTGTGGTTTGGGTATCTATCTACATTCCTGACACGGATTCCATGCTACCTCCTGGTAGTTTTTGAATAAATGAGTGTATGTTGAAGCTTAAATGTTTTCAAGATAACATAATTTTTAATATCCTAAAATTTACACATTGTCATGATAACTAATGTTTTTTTTTTGTATATTCCAGGGAATAAGTCACAAAGGGAGGAGCTGGACTCCATCCTCTTTCTTTTTGAAGTAAGTGTTTGTTAAATTCATTTAGCTTTTAAGATTCTTGTTGGCTCTTTAATTTTACTTGAAGACATAAAAAATGATGGACATGTATTTCCTTCCCTCTACTTTTACAAACAATGCTGCAAAGCATATTCTTGTGATTTTTAATTTTTTTTTGCAAACACGTGGGAGAATTTTTCCTGTATGGTTGCCTAGATGTGAAGTTGTTAGATGGAAATGTATCCACATTTAAAATACTGATATTGCCAAATTGTTTTCGAAAAGGTCATATAAACTTATATGGAAACTTATATGGAAGTTGTATGTAAATTTCCCTAACCAACCCTGGAGATGATTTTTTTAATATATATAAAATGTATATTATATATATATATATATTTGCATATATATAATGCAAACTGACATGTTGAAAACCCACTGTTTTCAATATGTATTTTCCTGACTACTAGTGAGATTGCAATCTTTGTATGTGTCTGTGTGTCCATGTGTGATCACATATTCTTTTCAAAGTTGGATCAATATATTTGGGTGTGGTTCTTGATCTATTAAGCTTAAAGTCTTCTTGTCCGCATGTATTAGACAAGTGGCCAGATTACTGATACCTTGAGAGTTACACTAGAACTAAATTGTGGGTTCTGAAAGTTAATTGTTGGTTATCTAGAAATTATTCATGGTTTGAAGAGACACGTGCTTAGGTTGGTGTGAGATCAACTTTATGACTGTAAAGGGAAGGCCTAATGTATATTTGTTGCGGAGCTGGCTGGAGGGAGAGGCCAGGGGAGAAGGCTCTCCATGGACTTTTTGGGTTTGTGGAATAAAACAGATCTGAAGACCTCCTGCCCAGTACCTGGCTCATGGCTGGCACTCAGTGACTGTGGTTCCCCTTTCTCTCCTTTGAGGACTGTACTCCTTCCCCAGAGTAAGAGCATTGATTTACTGTATATTTTATGGTGGTTATTGTGTTTCCTGTGGTAACCCTCCTTGAATGAAATTCTACAGAGGAGCTGTCTTTAACATGAGCTTTAATTAAGCCTGTCACTTAAATATGTATCTACTAACCATTATTTGCTTGAACTATCCCATTAATTTAAATTATCTTATTTATGTAGCAGTTGATACATTTACTAAAGAACCTATAATATATATGCAAGTTTTGAAGCATAGTGCTAAAGTCCATTCTCTTGACACCCACTCCCCTCCTTCATTTTAAGAACTAGAAGTTACCTGGGTGCTTCTCCTTGATCCTGTTCTTTTTCTCCTCTGAAGGCAGTCACTCCTCTGCATTATGCTATTACCCTTCTTTTTTAAAAATGGTTTTTACCACAAATATTCAATCCCTAAACAATGCAGTTTTGTTTGGTTTTGAGTATAATAAAAATGGTCTCAGATGGTACATAATCATCTGTGGCTTGCTGTTTACATTCAACGGTATTTCTGAGATTTATCTATGTGAATTTAGCTCAAGTTCATTCATTCCATCCCCACTGCTGGATTAAGTGAATATGTATGATTTATTTAATTCCAAATTTTGTCTACAGATTTTTTTTTGTTTCCTTGGTGGACAGTCAGATTGTCTGTTAATAATGACAAGCTTGCCAGTTAGTCTGTTTTCTTGTCTTACAGTGCTGGCCCAGCCCTCCAGTACATGGATAAACAGACACAACAAAGATGGTCATCCTGTTTCTGATTTAAAGAGTTCTGTTAATGTTTCATCATTCAGGGCTTCCCCGGCCTCCTGATGTTTTATTAATGAAGTTTTCTGTAAATTTTCAGTAGATACACTTTATCAGATTAAGTTTGCTTCTATTTCTAGTTTGGTAAGATTTATAAAAAGTCATAGATAGGTTTTGAAGTTTCCAAATATATTTTTTTTCTTTATTAACTGAGATAACCATGTGATGATTCTTCATGAATATAAATGTGGTGAATTGTAGTTCTGAATTTTGGAGGCTAATACTTTGCATTTTTGGATCTATGTTCACATCTGAGGTTGGCCTAAATTTCCCTTCCTCACATTGTTTCTGAATGATCCTGATATCAAGGTTGTAGAACCTGGTGTCAAGTATTTCTTTTTCTATTTTATAAAACAGTTTGCATAAGATTGGAATGATCTGTTCCTAGAATGTTTTTTAGCCTTTTCCTGTAAAAACCTTCTGAAACTGGTCCTTTATTTTTTGTTTTTAATTGGAAGATTTTAATAACTCATTCAATTTCTTTAATCATTTTAGGATTATTTTAGGATTATTCAGGTTTTCTTTTTTTCTTGATTCAGATTTGGTAAATTATATATTTTTCTAAGAATTTTAGGAATTCTAAGAATTTTTGATCACCAGAGTTTTAAAATTTTTTGGCGTAACTCTTCTTTTGAGGGTCATAATTCTTTCAGTTTTCTCTGCTCCGGATTAATCTTCCTTGTCTTCAGTTGTTATGTATATTAGACATTGTATTAGCAGTAGTCGCAATAAAATACTTGTGTCACCCTTTACGGGTACCGTTTTACTAGCTTCTCCTTACCACTGCAGCAGCTTTAAACTCCGTTCCCCCTCTAATTGTTCCTTTAAATGCCTTTTCTCTCTGGCTTCTTTTAAAATCTTTTTCTTAGTCTTTGGTGTTCTGTAGCTTCACCACAAAATGTCTAGTTGAAGATTTCTTGTCTTGCTTGGTATCTATGCATTTCCTGTATTTCTGGATTTAAATCCTCTGTCATTTCTGTAAAAAGCTCAGCTGCTATCTTCTCAAATGTTGACTCCTTTCTGTCCTTCTGGTGTACTTCCCAGGATTCTTACTTAAACCTTGATCTGTTCTCCATGTCTCTCAAGCTGGCTTTCGTCCTCTTCCCCTGCATCCTTGTGTTGCATTCTGGGGAATGTCTTCAGTTCTTCTGTGCAGTGCGTGAACTCCTTCATTTGGGGCTCATCTGCTGCTCAACCATTCTGTTGTGTTTTACATCTCAATAATTTTTATTTCATGTTTTAACTTCCTTAAATTCAATGTTCATATTTGGCCTGTTGCTTTTAATAGGCTCTTGATCCTTTTTCATTTTTAGACCTCTTTTGTGTTCTTAAACATTTAACATGTAATATTTCATATTCTATATCTGATCATTCCAGTATCTAGGTAAAGTCTTCAGTTTGCCTAAATCTGCTGTCTCTCACAATGGCTTCTTTTCTTGCATGATTTGTGGTGGGATTTTGAGACCAGATTTAATTGAACATAGATTTAATCTGTTTCAATTCCTGTGTTTTTCTGGAGGGTTTGTCTTTCTTTGCCAGGAGGCTGGGAGTGTTTTTGGTTGGAACCACTTTGGCTCCATTTGAAGGTTCTGGTTTATTAAGGGAATCTCAGGTTCAGTTCCTCAAACGTACCATGTGGTGAGAGCTGGGGTCTGGAGGGCACAGACATCTAGATCTAGAGAGCCTGCAGTGAAATTGGTGTTAGTTCTCTGGCACCCTGAATTGTTTCTCTTGAGCTTGTTGCTTGCAGATCAGGTTTTGGCCACTTCCTTCTTCTTACTTCCTTTCCTACCATTTTTTAAGTCCTTTGTTAGTTTCCCAATGTCCTCTAAAGCCCAGAAATGTTTTGAGAATTATCTTTGCTGTCACTAATTGCAAGTCTTGTCCTGTAGCAGGAAAGCCTGTCAGAGACAGAAACTGTAGTCCTATACCTCCCGCAGCAGAGATTTTAATACCCTCTCCTCGTGTCCAGAAATTCTAGATTAGGGAGAGTGTTACTGTACAGATACAGTACCATCTACAGAGGATTAGTTGCCTATATAATAGAACAAATATGTATTATTCAAAGCTTCATAAAACTTTCATTTTGCATAGTAAATATGAATGAATAATGAACCAGCATTACTTTTGTTTATGCTTATGTTCTCTTTCTGTCTCTGGCTTTAGAAGGTAGGTTGTAATTTGTATGGTTCATTTTGAAAATTAAGTAACTTCGTTGCTATTTTCTGTAAGTTAGTGCCATATAAAGAGGTGGCTTATGAGGATTCAGAGGTAAATACTTATCAAGGTGTAAATAATTGGGGAAGGCTTCCTTTATAAGAGGTAAAATTATTAAGACACGTTAAATCACAGAAGGGATATCGTGTAAAGATAGCCTATAAATAAAAAGTGGATTGGAAGAAAGCAGAGAGATGAGAGAGTGAGGAAGGGTTGGAAGGAGAGTATATCGGGAGACCTGCTGCCTGTCTCTGTAAGTGGGGCGATTTGGAAGGGATCCTTTGCAAAAGGAGGCAGTAGTGTTTAGATGGAATGAGCAACTGGAGACCTTAACAGTGCTCTGATGAAGCAAGTGGTGTGCAATCAAGCTGCCAACCCCGCTGAAGTTGCGGTTTCAGGCAGCAAGCAGGCCTTTCTGTCTGCCTTTATCTCCAGCAGGAGCACTTGTACTCATTGAGGTTGACCTCCAGACACCTTTGCCTCTGGCTGCAAATCTGTGCATCACTTTGGTTGCTGCTTCATGGGGATGTTTGTCACATTTTTTTTTTTTTTTTACTGAGGTTCACTTGTTAATTTTACTCTTCTTTTAAAAATATATTTAATCTATCATTGCCATGTGTTTCAAGTGGCAGTGGGGGATGATGGTGTGGGACCCCATAAGATGAATTTACATTGCCATCTTGACCACAGTATAAGTGTTGTACATGGCCATCCTGTGTCATCCTTTCCTTCTGAAGTGGATTCTGCCTTCCCAGTTTTTATCAGTGGAAGACTGGGGTCTTTGTTATTATAAGTGACTTGTCCAAGATTGCACATCTATCAAATGGTAGATAGAGACTTAACCTCTGGTCTCATTGTAGAACCCATTTTCTTAACTCAGTGCCATGCCACCTACCATGTAGGAGTCTCAATACTCTCCTGCTTTTAAAGCTATATTCCATAGGCCACGTCTACCAATATGTATCTATTCTTGTATAGTTCATTCATTTATTACACACATTTATTGGATGCCAGCTACGTGTTTCAGGCACATTTCCAGGTGCTGGAGATACG